AATACAATACAATACCAGTTTGATAGACAACTGTCACAATTTTCAAACAATTACACTCAAAGTGTAGTATTAATCGAATTCAACTCCACTCAAATGCAGTCTTAATTTGTCACAGTTATCATAACAGTTGATAATCATACTGGTATTGAGGTAAACAATTTGTGTATTCAATTTATTACACATATAACTGAATACACAAAATCTTGACCTCAATGGTGTACCTATAATTAATTTAATCAACACAACATAAAATTATTCTGTTAATTTTGTGTGAAAGCTGACTTATTAATAAGATGTTGTTGGTTTTTTTTTTCAAAGAAAAGACTAAAAATAAAAATAAAATATGTATAAAAAAAGCAACCACATTTTATTTCACCTGTAATATCAAATTCATAGTCATCTGACATACGTTAATAACTAAAGTCTATTTAAGTTACAATTATCAGTAATTTGGTTGAAACAATAAACACAATTGCTTAACTCTAACCTGATCATTTTCTGCCATACATTTATTTGTATATTCCCCATTATATTGCTATTTAACAGTAATTGGGAATATCTCAGTAATAGGTATTTGTACATGTTTATTTGAGATACAGAAAATGTATTTTTTCCTTAGTGAAGAATGAACACCAATTTAGAATTAGTTATTTATTTTTGATGCTGTTGAGAAAGGGCATTTTTAATGCCTCTCTCGGGAAATGTTTAAGCCAATTATTATTTATGGTATATACAATAAATATGCTACACGTTTGAAGATTTCCCTTAACATTCTTGTCAAAAACTTTGAATTTCAAATGTTTCTAAAAAAAAAAGAAGATGAAAAAAATCTGACAGGGTCTTCAATTGAAATACCAAAATAATTTGCATCAATATTGCAAAATTCCCCATCTCTGGGCAATAGAATAGAAATTATAAAATGAGATTATGGAAATAAAAGAACAAAAGAAATATTGAAAGTATGGTCAGAAAGAATGTCAGACAAGCTACAAAAATGGCTGGATCACAACATCCATGATGCTTTGATTCCTTATTTACGAAACATGTTCAGCCACATTAGAGCAAGATTCTTAATATATAAACATTATTGAAGCTCAATGGTGCATAGATTACTGCAGTAGTATATTTTAACATATCAACGAGGTCATATAATGTACTGGAATGATATAATGTGCCCCTTTATAATCACCATATTCTATCTTTATTAGAAATGAGTTTGTTGACTTAACGAAATATATATTTATACTTTGATCTATAAATCAATTCATATTTATACTAATAAGACCAATGTCTTATCTGATGCGCAAATCTTATTCCATACAGATATCAATTTCAAATGATGAAAAAATAAACCAAAATCAATTAATGGTTCATTCAGTATTAATAAAAAAGAAAATATGAATTATTATAATATTATGTCGAACACATAAATAGTGCAATGAAGTAGTTCAAAAGCATTAGCTTCATATCACCACTGAATAACCCGAATTACGAATCGGAAAGTTTCGGGTAATACAAAGTCGACTGTAGTTATGTAATCAGTCATTCCTTTAAAGTTTACTTGCTTGTTAAACCAGGGACTAACATTCGACTGCTGGATGGTAGCAATCCTTCAGAAGGACGACTGGAAGTAAAACACAGTAATGAATGGGGCACAGTCTGCGGTACCAACTTTGATGCATCGGATGGCCGTGTTGTTTGTCGCATGTTTGGTTATGATACAGAGTAAGTTTTTGCTAAACCTAAATGTTATTGGTAACTGAATAAGCAACATTATGTGAACTATATTTATTTCATGTTCAATGTATTATACGTTTATGGATAGACACGTCAGTGGATATCAGAATACATCATAATGTTTTTGTTTAAAAAAAAAATAGTATTGATGGCAGATATTTTATAGTATCTGTTTATTAAAATCATAGCGTTTTATTAAATGGGCATGGATTTATAGCTTTCATATTGTTAAAACAGCTGTTTTTTGTATAATCTGAATGTTAAACTCTATATATGTTGTAGTTAGTTGTGTCGTACGCTTGGTGTGCAATAGATTTAGTACACACCAAGTATGTTCACTATTATGTTTATCTGACGCCACTGAAGATATTTGAATATATTTATTCACTCATTTGAAGATTTCTTTCCGACATCCTTCCTATCTTCATTCCGTCATTCGTCTGTCAATCCCACATAGAGTACATGCGTTTTCGTCATACTTTCCTTATAATTTGAAAGCTGGGACTTTTTTAAGTATGCTTATGTTATTACACATATTTCTGATGTGCATGTTTTCCTGCTTTTGCATTTCAATTTTTTTCACTCTGACAAGATTTTTGTTAATGCTACCAGATTTTTATAATGAAATGCATGCACATATATTCAAAATTTGGTTATAGTCAAGATTTTTCATTATATATAAATTTAATGAAATTTATATAACATGGCTTTTCCGGCTTATTCGTCCTACACTTGTAAAGCAATGCAATTTGTTTTATTGTGCAGACTGATAACTATTATTCAGGATGAAAAGACGTGTCCTTCCCCTCCAACGTAATTATTTCCTTAAACATGTGAATATGACGTCATTGTTCAATGGAGCACCCAAACATATGATTTTTGGGAATGCCTTATGATATTTATATTCTAATAACTCACAAATGTGTCCACCTTTCTAAAAATTAGTCGCTACACACTATGATATAGTATACATGGTGGGAATGTCTTTTTCTCGTAAGGCGTCGAATTGTCATTGTCGACTACCGTTAGGGCCAAAATGAATGTTAGTCAAAATATCCTTATAGTGATTCGTTTGAGGTCTCAAAGAATAAAATGTTACCGTTGTTGTAGAAAAAAAAATATATACCTTGATTCATGAATATCTGTCGCATGCCTTATCTTCGGTTAAGGAAAAGCAAACAGCATATATTCATTGTCCAAACTGTTCTTATAATCTTCAGATATCTCCAAGGTCTACAAACAAGGAATTTATAACGTAATGTAAGAAGGGGCGTCGAAATACCTGGAAAACATAAAGCAACCAAGAACACATTTAAGGATATGTCATTAATATGAACGATAAATAAAAATATATATTAAATGCTATACATGTGTTACAAAAGTTGATAGAAAAGCATGATTTGTCATTAGATTGGTATTCACTAAATGGGTATCCTTATTCCAATAAGAATTGTTTTAGTTCTTTTTTTAAATATATATGAAAGTCATAGAAAGATAGTGTAGTTGATATTCAAATTGCTTGCTCAACGTTCATTTGTAAATATGTCATGTATATTCATGACGAAAACACATTAATAACTTTTAAAAATTGTAGTTGTTACCATTTGGGCCATAATTTCTTCATTTGTCAAGCAGTTTCTTTAACTGACAATAAGATCTTCATTGCGTCTGGGTTTCGTGTTCAACATACAATTTCATGTATGTTATAAATATCCTTAATGTGACCCCTCTGACCATATCCAATTTCAGGAGGTATCAATACTATTAACGGTATCTATTTTTCTGCCCTAGATGTGCAATTCGACAATAAATGTCTTTTCGGTGATGCTCGAGACCAGTATATTCAAAATCTTTCATCGAAGAACAGAATCGGTCATGTTTGGACGATATATAATTTTAGGGACACGTTTGAGCAAAATGGACACTTTTGTAAGGACGGACACGTTTGAAGATGTACTATATTAACTAAGGATGTTCACATAATAAAAATTAAGATTGTTGTTAAAATTTCCAATAATACGATAAGTGTGCAATTGTTTGTGAAATTATGCATGCTTTGTACATGATTAATACGACAAACTTCTTCAGTTATTTAAAATAAGTATATTACGTTTTATAAATAATAGAAGGCACAATGTTCGTTTATGTAAGATTTGCATATCATCTTCATTTAGATTATCTCAACATTTTCTACATTTGACAAGTCCTATTATGTCCTAGTAGTTTACAGTGCATATTATCAGGATGTTTATTTTCTTTAATTGTTTGTCGGTGTAGTTATGAGTGTGGGGAACATAGTATGCCCGGCTAGCTTCTACAGTCGAACCAGAACATTTGAATTTACAGACAGTATGTATGTACAGACTGTTTGTAAGTATATAAAAGTGGGCATACGATTATTTTCAACGTTTATATAAATGAAAGGAGGTTGCACTGAATAATGTGTATGCAACCGTGGTGACAATTCGACAAATCCAGTAGTTCGTAAAGCTAACTTTAAAGGGCCCAGACATCAAAATATGGAACGAACATTATTATGTCTGTCTTCGAGAGTTGAGGCCAGTAAAAAGCGACAAAATTAAGTAAAACTGCCCCTATTCATGTCATTACAAACTTTAATTGACATTGAGTGGTTTTAAAATAATCTAAATTAAAACTCTTGTGCAATACGGGATGATTTTTTTCTAGAGAAAAAAAACTATCGATGTATCGAGACTATAAGTGTAATTAGAAATAGATGATGGTTAAACATTTTTATTTCCTTTGTATTATTCAACACGAAACTGTAAAAAGTTCCAAATGGTTATATACTCTCAGAAATTTGTTTTATTCAATTTTTGATTGATGCACGACATTCAGATTTACATCGCAAAGAGGTTTTACTGTGAATTTAACAACGAGACAAGGCAAGAAGTTAAACTTACCGCAATACTTCAGACAAATGAAAACAAACAAAATGTACTTCTTTAGCAAAGAGAACGTTTAAGAGAAAAATTATCATGATTCCAAAATTTGCAGCGCTTTCTTTATTTTTAGGAAATCCTTTGTCAGCAACAACATTTTTAAGTCATGTTAATGATTAAGTGTAGCATGTGTAAATAAACTTGTTTTGGTGAGTTATAATGCCCAAAAAATCATATTAACATTTGAAGATTTTATATATAACACTGTATTTGAATTACATATGTATCCATTGTATTCCTAGAAATCCGTCTATATATATTGGGGATCATTTTCAACTGAATGGAAGTAGGAAGATATGGATGAACAATCTAGGTTGCTGGGGAACTGAGGATGATCTTGGACAGTGTAACTTTTCTCCCTGGGGACTTAATAATTGTTCTCATCAACAGGATGTTGGTATAGCTTGTGGTTAGTTTTATATGTTTGATATTTTTTGCATTAACAATAATGTAAAGTTACATGTAATAAACAAGGTATGTGGTTGAACTGGGAATTGGCTAGATGATGAACCATTTTATTTAAGCTTATTATAAATTTTATGTAGTATATAGTATATTACTCAATATAATCTCTATTCTTAAACTTACATTGGAAACAATGTTCGTCTTCATTTCTGCAATGACAATGACGTTTTAAAACAATACCTGGATCAAAGCAGGGAGATCATCAGTTAGATACATGAGAGAGTTAAACATTTGAGCCGGTTTTGACTGAATGCGGACGTTTGTATTACTTCAATACATATCGTTTTACTAACACTTGTACAATTCGTCTTTTGTAATACTGATTTACTGAGTAAATAAAAACTGAATTTCATACTACGTCTAATATATGATCCTTTATGTACGTCATCTAAGTTAGGAACCATATCAATACTTGGCTTTATTTCTATCCCAGTGTTCTTGCTCAAGTAGAATTATGAACTGATTTCAGATCTCTTTAAATTATTTACAATTTGTCTAGGATCAGAGAAGACCATACGCTGATCTGTCGAAATATTTAAGTTTTTTCAGTTAATTGTTGGATTGATATCATATTGACGTGTATCATACATCTCTTTTTTTTTAAATGCAGTGTACGATTTTTTATTTTATGAATTAATTTTTTTTGGGACGTTTTCACGAATTAAGAATACCATTAAAGGACAGAAAACGAAGTTAAATAAGTTAAACATAGTTTCTCTCTCAAACGTTAGTTTGTATCTGTATCCCTATAATTTGTATATTATCAGCCAAACTGTAAAGTGTGCATGCACTTGACATTCGTTTGTTTTAATTAGGTCAAACTAGATGATAATAACCGTTGCATATTTTATATATTGTTTATGTATTCATTGTTTCAGGTATCAGTGTACGATTAATTGGAGGAGCTTCCTATAACGAAGGGAGAGTAGAAATTCACCATGCAAACGAATGGGGAACTATTTGCGAAACAAATTTCTCAAAGAATGAAGGAATGGTTGTCTGTCGTATGCTGGGCCTAGACACTGAGTAAAATTATTGTTTTACATTAAGCTATAGATTTTAATAAATACGCGTAGCTGTACATTGTAGGTACATAGTGAGTAAAAGATTCTTTTTTTAAAAGTCTGTACGATGTATGAAAACTACAACAATCTCATCTTAGGTTTAGAGTAATAATAGCGTTAGTAAATTTGAGTTTTTGCAATGTTTGAATGTTCGAAACCGAGAAACAAATAAAAACGCACCAATATTCTTGTAGGGACTTATATTATAAGCTTTAAAAAAAACAGAAAAAAAATAAATAGGTCACCGTGCTTATAAGAAAGAAAGAAAAACCTCATTTTTGTTGTTACCATGGAAACTTTTATGCAATATTTCTAGAAATTATTCAATTCAGACATAGCGATTGACTCAAATGGTGGCAAACAAAAATGACAGATTTTCCTCATACTTTGTGGACTTAAACCTCATTATATGGGTATTTGAAAAATACAATAACATTTGGGTGTCACCAACCATCCAAGAGATTTTTCCCCGACTGAAACACGGTTTCAAATAGGGTTATTTCTCTATGAAATATAGGAAAATGGGCAAAAAACTTCTTTGGTTGAATATTCACAGCAAAAAAAAAAAATGACAGACGTTCACCATTTTTTATGATTGAATAGCCAGATGTCTATATTTTGTAAAATTGGAATAAAATGTGGGGGTCACAGGCAATATAAGATAATTATTTTACTTCTTATGACCAGTTTACCATGGAAACGGACTGTAACTGTTATAATTCAGACAAAAATACTTATGGAGAAGTTTGATATAAACAAATCTTTAGGAGTTTCCATGAGAATTTAATAAATTTGGAAGGGTAATTAAGTACTATATACAGATTGATATAAACAAATCTTTAGGAGTTTCCATGAGAATTTAATAAATTTGGAAGGGTAATTAAGTACTATATGCAGATGAGAAAGTTGATTTAATGGATTACCCGTTGTAAAACACGGTCTTGTCGATTTCTTCATTTTAGATAGCGGCAACATATTTCAGACAATTTCTATTAGAATTAATCGAAACTTTGCATGATTATTGAGTAGCATGTGTGGATGTGCAAGTAACCTAAGTTTGTTTTATCATACAGACTTTAGAGCTTTCAATGGTAAAACAAGGACTAAGCTATTTATGAGTGCGCTATATAAGTCTCCTTTCTGAGGAGCACCATCATGATATAATGATATATGGTGTAAAGGAGACATTTATCACACAGGATAGGCACTTATTAATTTGAGCATTTACCTTTCCAGTTTCCCAGTCAGGCTGTGTTATACTTGTTATTACTACTTTCTAACTATGTAGGGGTGTGTGCAGGTTGTTTTTTTAGGGGGGGGGGGGGGGGGGGTGTTGAAATCTTTTTTAATGTATGAATGAGCAGCTGCGACATACAGTACACATACATTTTGTATATTTTTTTTTAATATATTAAAATGCTTACCCTTATCATATTTTTATCATATTTTCCATGTTAATTTCTCACCCTTATTATATATTATCAAGCTTGAAAGAATTTCCATTATCACCGACTCATTCGTACCACTCAGTACATATCAAGCGTAAAGGGAAAAAAAGGGATCACAAAAGAAAAAAGTCACAAATCTGATATAAAATAAGATTCATTTTGTACAAGTCAACTGTTTAAAAGTATTTCATTTGTTTTTCTTTTTTTACATTGATACGGAACTTTGAATAGTAAATGAAAGAGATATTTAAAATAAAATAATTCTAAGGTTTAAAGTTTTATTATCTGGCTAGACAGTGGATGACTGACATGAAATATAAACTGTTAACTAAATGCAGTAATCAATAATTAGTTAATAACCATCTGTTTAATTTAAAAACAAACTTGAAATTTCCGTATGAGAAATGAAGGCTTGAGAATAAATACAAAGCAATTTCAAAAATGTAATATATATTTCCAATGGGCATAACTCTGTATTAAAGATTTGATCGGTACTAATTTTCAAACTTGTCCGAGACATCTTTATATAAACCTTTGATATAAATTTTATCAAAATATGGCAAATTTTATACACATGAGAGCGCTTACAATACAATTGTCCTTATAATTAATATTTCCAAGGGGCATAACTCTTTTAAAAATATTTGATCGGCACTGATTTTTTAACTTGTCCGAGACATTGCTGATTTAAACGTTTTATATCAAATTTAAAAACTGGTTTCTTATATCTTCAATTGTGATGATTAAATACCAGTTTTTAATGTTTTATATACCTTAAACATCAATCTATCAAAATAGAATGTTATGTTGTGTACCATACTGCTTGCCTTTGCTAGTGATTAAGTGATTAGTGAGTTAAGGATCATATATGTTGCAGATCTATTGTGAAATGGCATTTAAATCTCGATATGGGGAAATATCTGACACAAAATTTATGTCTATATGTATTTCCAACATGTTTATCTTTTTAGTCTTAGATTTGTGATTTTTTTATTATTTGTTTTTGAAATTGAATTAGCTGTCATATATGTACTTTATGTCTTTTGTTTTAGGGATGTATGAAACCATGCCACGTCCGGTTTGTGTTTTTTGCTTTGTATCGATCTGATGAGTTAAGAACTTTTTCAACTGATTTTGATAGTTTGTTCTTATGTTGTACTGTTACAACACTGTCCCGGGTTAGGGGTTGTCACCTTCAAACATGTTAAACCCCAGCACATTCTAAAAGTGCCTGTCCCAAGTCAGGAGCATGTAATTGGATGGTTGTTGTTAATTGCTGTTTCTCGTATTTGTTTTTCGTTTATTTGTTTGTCAAGTTTGATCTTGTGTTGTACCTTTACACTACTGTCCCATGTTAGAGGAGGGTTTGATGCCTTCAAACAAGTTTAACCCCGCCATATTCTATATGTGCCTGTCCAAAGTCAGGATCCTGTAGTTTAGTGGTTGTTGTTGGTCCATGTCGGTCATATGTGTTTTTCTTAAATTGTTTTGTTAATAATTAGACATTTAGTTTTCCCAATTGAACTGTTTCATAGTTTTCATGTCAGGACCTCTTATAGCCGACTATATAGTATGGATTTTGTCATTGTTGAAGGTGGTACGATTGCCTATAATTGCTTACTTTCATTTCATTTTACCTTTGGTGGATAAATGTAGTTGTTTATTGTCCTTATTTTTATATTATGAAGTCAGTATAATAATAATAATTGTCTTTATTGACTGGTTTACCACATATTTTCTCTGTGGTTACATGCTCCAATTGGCTTTTTTTAAAGTTAAAAGTACATTCATAAGTGATTCAGAAATAATAGTATCATATTGCGTAGAAGGTGCGAAAATTTAACTCCTATACCACCTTTATTCTGACTTTACGTGTATGATATGAATAATTATCAAAACAAGCTAAATGTTTACTTACAGATACTGTAATATAAAAAGAGCGTCGATATATATTATTTATACGTGTTAATTATGCTTTTGGGTTCATTTCTTACACATAAACGTTCAACTTGGATGTAACAATGTAGAAGCAATTTACTGAAATCGACAACAACAGTTAAAAATGCGGTATAGTTTCGTACATTAGATGCAGCCTCATATTTTCATGGCGTTAAGTAATACAAGAGGTTTCTCAAAATTTACGAACGAACAAAAGTCGCCCTAACTTGACGTAACTTGCCGTAACGAGGAAAGAGGGAGCATTCATTCTAATAATATTGGGCAATCGGATGTTCACTCCCTTTAGAAATGTCTTTTACATAAAACTATTCATTCAGGTTTTTCTTAATCCATTTTGAGTTGTAGACATACAAATATATTGACTTGATATATTATATATAATATACAATTCACGATTCAATCAACACAGTAGTAAATCTAATTTATCAATAAATTTTGGCGAAGAATATGAAATATTTAGACCAAGGACAGAAATCGTACAAGAGATTTTGATATACATGACATCATATTGAATATTTTAGTACATACATCTGAAAAAGGGTTTATGTAGAACTTGGGGATGAGAGGGCTAGGAATCTTTTTTGAAAACTTATCTAGGCTCAGATCAAAGGTAAACAGTCCTGCGCAAAAATGGGGTAAAACAAATCTAGGAGTGAACGCCTCTAGGAAAAATTGGTTTTTAATTTAAAAAAAAAAAATCCTCGGATTAGAGATAATTTCGTTGTCCCCAACCCTTAAAATACAAATGATCACTTCTTCACCTTAAATGAGTATTACTGCTTTATATTCTAGCTAAACTAGCATACTCAGGAAGATAAATAAAGGGAAATATTGAATAAATATTTGAAAAAAAAACCAGTTAACTTGAAAAAGGTGTTCTGTAATGTATTGTGATTTTGTTTTTTTTTTTAATTTGTTTTGTTTCATGGCCTTTCTTATTCTTTGAGTGTATGTTTTTATTGTCGTACACATATAAGTATAAATTAATTTATATTGTTTCTTTTTTGTTTATTGTTTTCTTATCTTCGTTGAGCTTTTATGGCATATTATTTATATTTTCTTCTGCTTTTATATTTCCTATTAGTCACTTTTTATTTTCGGCAAACAATGTACCTTTATAATAAATATATGACTATCAGTTTTGTTGGTGCTGTATGTTGTATCACTCATACTTTCAATAAGAATACACATAATAAAATTAGGAATGGAAATAGGGAATGTGTCAACAGGGGCAGATTTAGGGGGCAGGGTGCCCGCCCCCCCCCCCCCCCTTTTGTGGAAAAAAAATGTTGATTATTTAGGTAATCAATGAAGCATGACTGATCGGGCGCCTTCTAATGGCAGTCAGTGCCTCCCCCTGCTCCTTATGAAAATTTCTGGATCCGCCACTGGTCAAAGAGACAACAACCCTACCAAAGAGCAGAAAATATTATTTACGATTGATCGAGTGCACCTTTATATTTCTGTAACTGACTCCCAAAAATATTTAAAAAAATTAAATAAATAGCGGTGTTAACGACATATATATGAAAGAATGCACAAAACATACCGTCTT